CATCATCACTCGTTAAAAGGGGAGATGAAAAATCTCCTCCAGCTGCTGGCACACTAGAAGATGTCATCTAAAAGGCACCTGTTCGGGAGGTGAAGCTAACCTGATCTGGAGAGACCTAGGAGACCGGCTGATTGAAACTCATTCTCAGCTACACTTCAGGCTCCTTGATGCCACAGTGGCAACCTAAAGGGATGGAAATGGCCACCTGAGAATATCCCTTGCCTGAAGTCCTTCCCCTAGCCCTGCTCCAGTCCCTGGTATAGGGAGCAGATGAGGGGCGTGGCCAGAGGGCATGGTACGACATCTGTTCTCTGCCTCCTAGGGCCCATGGGAAGTAGTGTGTTTGAGCAGCCCCGGGGAGACGTGTGGTGTGCACACAACCCGGCCTGTTAGAGACGAAGGCCAGGCCAGTGGTTAGGACGTGAGCCTGGGGTCGCAGAGATGGGGGTTCAGTTTCCTTTGCCCCCACAAGCTTTCTGTGGGATCTTGCGGGAGTCACTGAGCCCCTTTGTGCCTCAGTTCCCCACCTCTAAAATGGGGATAATAGCACTGACCTATCTCCCAGGGTGTGCAGATGTGATGCTGGTGAGGTAATGGGGGTTGGGAAGGAAACAAGTACCTTTGATAGATAGGCAGGGCCCTAGGCGATCTCCTTTGCCTGGTCCTCCAAGCTCAGGACTGGAGTGATTGAGAATCAGGTCCATGCTGCAACGGAGGGCTCCAGAGCTGGGCCTATGGCCGGGGGCTTGATGATATTCCCCACTCCTTGGCCTTCATCGGCTTTAGACAAAATATGTTCCTGTGAATTTGGTGCCAGCCTGAGCATCCCGGGGCCCAGAGTCCTATCGGTACCGGGAGGCAGCCACAGGGCAAGCGTCCCCTACATCGTGCTCAGCCCAGACCTGGAAAGGCCAGCCCTAGGAATGGGAGGGGAGAGCCTCAGCCGTGGTCTGTTGAGTCCTTCCTTGGCTTCTTGGCAGAGATGACCGATAAAGAAGCCGCATGGTGCCAAAGTTACGACGGTAGTGTTGGGGATAGGCTGGAGACCCACCGAGTTTGTGTCATCTGCACCTCCAAGCAGCCATTGCACGGTGAGTGACCTGGGCTGGACTCGGGTGAAAGGCTCCTTCTACCATTACCAGTCCCCTGAGCCACATCGTCCCCCCCACAGAGTGATCTGCTGAGCCGGTCTGATAGCTCGTCCCAGGAGGAAGGTTTTCCTGCATTTGGTGTGTCTTGCCCCCCTTGCTCCGTAGCATTTCGCCTCCCAAAGGGCACCACCAGAGGCAGCAGGGGAAGGCTGCCACTGCTTTCTCTGTGCCAACGTACAGCGCCGGACGCCTTCTGCACAAGGAGCAGGCCCTATGGGGGAAGGGCACTTGGATTAGGCTGTTAATGGTGTGCATGGTAGCGGCGCACGGCCACGCTAAGCCAAATCCGGATGAAATCAGAGGGACAGATTCTGTGGTGCATCTCGCAGGAGGCACAACCCAGAGGACAGGGGACTAGGGGCACAAAGGTGGCTTTAAAGAAACCCCATAAAAGTGGCCCGGATTCTGGCTCTAACGTTTGGCAGCATTAGGCTGCCCCGGGGCCTACGCTGCAGCAGGGAATCTCTATGGCTCTATGTGATAGACACTCTTCCTCCTGCCCCCACCCCGGCCCCCATGTCTGGGGCTGCGTGCGCGCGTTGGGCAGGGGGCAGCCGTCATGGCCCCTGCACAACTGGGCTGAAAGAGTCTCCCCCAGCCAGCTGGCAAGGGCTAGAGTGCAGCCAGACCTGGCCCCCACGGGGCCATTGCTGGCATGGCTGCAGCGATCATTTTCTTTGCCTCCTCGTTTTGCAAGCACCCGGGTGTCGGCTGAATGACTCCAGGGCTGGCTTGTATTGTGTAAGGCTGCAGCCTCCATGGCTGTTTGCAAAGAGCCGCAAGGGGCATTGCTGAGCTCCGGGTGGGGAGGTGTATAGGGCTAGGGGGGACTGCATAGGCAGAATACCCTGGCCATCCAGGCTTGGGAAGGGGTGGTTTAGTGTCAACTGCAGGCATGGCAGCAGCTGAGGGATCTGCTACAGGCTACACCTGTGACCTGTGAGGATGGGAGGAAATGTATCGTTCTCTGTGGCCGGCATCCTCTTTGCTGGCACCGAGGGTACAGCATGCCCCAATTGCTGGCACCGGGCCCTACCTTATTTACACTACCGGCTGGAGGGCCCCCGTCAAGATCAGCCCTGAGCAATCCTATTGACGCCAACAGGGCTGCTCAGGCAAGTAAAGTTAAGCGTGTACCTTAAGAGTTTGCAGGATCAGGGCCTAAAAATGCCATTGGGACGAGCCTCTCCTTCCAGCAATCCTGCAAGCTGGCAGCCAACAGGCATCTTGGAAATCCACCTTAACTCCTAGTCCCGCCCCCGAGAGAGCTTCCCTCTGAAAATTCCTCCTCCTGGCTTCTGAAAATGCAGGGATGCATTGCACTTCAGGCTCTGCCTTGTGCGCCGAAGTCCCTTAAGGAAGAGAAGAACTCTGCAGGGGACCTCCCACCAGGTAAGGGGCATTCGCCACGGGAGGAGGAGCTGCTTGGAGCTGGACCTAGGGAGGCTGCCGGGCTGGAGAAGGTCTGGGAGCCAGGGCATGTGTCTCAGACACATGGGCACAAAAAGGAACTTTGGCTGTCGGTTTGTCTCGGAATTATGCCCGCAGTACAGCGGAGAGAAGCAAAGCATCCCCGGCTGGTCTTAGGCATTTGCAATGAAGCATGTCAGCGTGTGTTTCGTATGTGTCTTGTCTTGTGTCTGGCTCTGTAGCTAGCTAGAGGGGGAGTGAGAGAAAGTTACTCCAGGTTTATACCTGAATAAGGGCAGAGTCAGCCCCCTGGGCTCTGAACGTGTGTCCTGTATATGCCTGAGTTTGTGTGTGGTGCGTGCTGTGTTATTTGCTGCGGGTGCATACTGGGGCTGTGTTGTGTGTGTCAGTATGCCTCTATGGCAGAGTATCTGATTAATAAGAGTAGTTTGCATTCATGTAGCACTGTACATGTGCTGCTTTCAAAGAGCTTTGCAAAGGACGGTGAATATCATCCTTATTTACTGGTGGGGAAACTGAGACACAGAGGTCCGGTGACTTGTCCAAGACACACAGTGATTCTGGGTCAAAGCCAGGAGTAGAAGTCAAGTCTCCTGGCCACCAGGGCTAACCACTGGTCCATTTCCCTCCCTCTATAACCTAGGGTAGCTTTTCCTAACTTTCCTGGTCCTTGATTTGTGTCTGTACTGAGAGTGACTCAAGATTTCCCAGTCCTCCCGCCCTCCTCCTCCTCTGCCTCCTGGTATTTATCCAGGCTGTTCCACACTATCCAAGCATCCACCTTGTGCGGGATGCAGCAGCCAGGTTTATCAACATCCTTCTGCCCAGACTTTGTTTTGGTGCCAAGTTGGGATGTCGGCTGCCTTGCCTACACAAGGTACCAGCTCCAGTTGCTTGTCAGGCCTTCCGCTCCAAAGGCACAGCGCCCTGGCCTGGAGGGTGGAGGGATGGCAGCGTGGGAGATCTGGTTCATAGCTCTGCCATGGTAGCAGAGGTCAGATTCCTGCCATGGGAGAGGACCTTGGCATCAGAGCTGCAGATTTATTATGTGATTAATCCCTTATCTTGTTTTCTGGGTTGTTTTCTGAGGCCCTGCCTGGCAACTCAAGGCAAGTGAATAACAAATAGCTCGGTAAAGAGGGGCCGGCCTAAGAGAGAGATGGGTGGGGAAGAGCCACCTTGCTCCGAAACCTGCACCTGGGAATGGTCTCCAGAGAAAATCTGGAGTTTTGGTTTCTTGCTGGCTGCAGGTCTAACCCCACCATACAGGCCATCTTTTATTCCAATACAAGACTCGCCCAGCTTTGCTCAGTGGCTAGAGATGTGACCAAGAGAGGAAGGGGCATGGAAGGGGACTTTGAATTAGCAGCCCCGGTTCAGACTGGGAAGGGGGTCAGCATTGGCCTGGGCAGCTCAGTGACAGAGTCTATTTAGATATTACCCTCTTCTACATGGCCTCAGCCATGAGTCCACCCCGGTTCCTTAGGGCCCTTGGGGTAACGGACTTTCTTTCCTCACTTGCCCTGCCTTTGCCTTTCAGGAAGCGGCATTTAGGAAGGGATCAAGCATCGCTAAGCTCCAATTCGTGTGCTTACACGAGGTCTAGACTTCCCTTGCAAGCTCAGACACATTTGGTGGGGCGGCGGGCTCTGATTTGCATCACCCTGCCAGCTTTAAATGTGGTGCTTCCTTCTGCTATTTGTACCTTCACGGGGTTGTGAGCGTCAGATGGTAGGGACTGGTTAGGTTCCTCGGTCACTTCAGACACCAACAAACTTTGCCTGGACTTCCAAAATGCGGCAGGGCCTGAGGGGTAACTTCACCCCTGTGCAGAGAGCCAGTACATGGCCTAGACACTACTTAAACCTCTCCCGCAGCTAGCCCTATTTTGAGAACTCGTGTGCTGCATAGGCCTGCGCTAGGGGTGAGTTTCAGCCTATGTGTTAACAAAAAAATGCTCTCAGGGCTGAGTGGCGGTCATAAAACCCCTCCAAGATTGCCCTGTCCCCTGTAGACACTCTCAGCATCGCAGTCTGGGCCATGGGTGTGGCCAGCCTGTCACAGGATGCTTTGTCTATGCCCACTGCAGCATGAGCACATGGGTTCTGTTCCTGGCTCTGGGAGGAGGGGTGTTCGGGCAGTGGGGAGAAGCAAGAGGCAGGACTTCTGGGTTATATTCCCAGCTATTAGAGGGGAGTGGGGTCTAGTGGCTAGAGCTGGGGAGGAGTGGAACTGGAAGTCAGGACACCTGAGTTGCATTCCCATCTCTGAGAGGGAGCGGGGACAAGTGCTTAGAGCAGTAGGGGTGGCACTAGGAAGCAGGACTCCTGGGTTCTCTTCCCAGCTCTGGAAGGGGAGTGTGCTTAGAGCAGGAGCCTGGAATATTGATTTGTGTTTTTTTATTTCTTCCCCTTGCAGACCCAATGAACGGGCACCACGGACCATGAACTGGGGTGTCTTTGAAGGGCTCCTGAGCGGGGTGAACAAGTACTCCACGGCCTTCGGCCGCATCTGGATCTCCGTGGTCTTCATCTTCCGGGTGCTGGTCTACGTGGTGGCGGCGGAGCGGGTGTGGAGCGACGACCACAAGGACTTCGACTTCAACACGCGCCAGCCCGGCTGCTCCAACGTCTGCTTCGACCACTTCTTCCCCGTCTCCCACATCCGCCTCTGGGCCCTGCAGCTCATCCTGGTCACCTGCCCCTCCCTGCTGGTGATCATGCACGTGGCCTACCGGGAAGCCAGGGAGCAGAAGCACCGGGAGGTAGCGGGCGAGAACTGCCGCCGGCTCTACCCCAACCCCGGCAAGAAGCGGGGAGGGCTGTGGTGGACCTACCTGCTCAGCCTCATCTTTAAGGCTGCTGTGGACGTGGTTTTCCTCTACATCTTCCACGAGTTCTACAAGAACTACACTCTCCCCGGCGTGGTGAAGTGCGAGATCCCCCCGTGCCCCAACATCGTGGACTGCTTCATCTCCCGGCCCACGGAGAAGAACATCTTCACCCTCTCCATGGTGATCACAGCCTGCCTCTGCATCCTGCTCAGCTTGGTGGAGGCCTGCTACCTGGTAGGGAAACGGTGCCGAGAGTCCCTGCTGTCCAGACGCGAGAGCAGCCGGAGGGAAACGAGGCAATTCAGGAGCGTCGTTCATAGCAAGGACTGTTCCCTCTCCCATGGCGAGCAGAACAGCCTCGAGCCGGGAGGGTGGGGTTTCCATGCTGCAGATTGCAAGCTAGTCGCGGCTCCAAACACAGCCAGTTCCCCGATAGGAGAAGATGTTATCTCCTAAGCAGAGGGAAAGACATAGGGAGGCTGTCTCCATGCAGAACGGCCCTCGTTTGAGACCAACCCTCCTTGTTGGCCGGGCCTGAAGACATCGCAAGCCAAGATCAGACCCGGCCTCTGCTGGCAGCTCTGCTCCCATCACACGCCCGGGTGTTAACGACATTGGGTGCTCCCCCTGCATTGCATTGGTCTGGTGGAAATAAGTGGACTCAGGCACAGTAGAGAAGAATGGTCTCTCTAGTCAGAGGGAAGCTCTATAGGAACCACCGGCTGGAGAGAAGCAGGGAGAAAGGGAATGTTCAGAGGATGTTGTGAAGGGCAAGACTATAACAGGGTTCAAAAAAGAACTAGATAAGTTCATGGAGGATAGGTCCATCAATGGCTATTAGCCACGATGGGCAGGGATGCGGTCCCTAGCCTCTGTTCGCCAGAAGCTGGCAATGGGTGACAGGGGATGGATCACTTGATGATTCCCTGTTCTGTTCATTCCCTCTGGGACACCTGCATTGGCCACTGTCAGTAGACAGGATACTGAGCTAGATGGACCTTTGGTCTGACCCAGTAGGGCCGTTCTTATGTTCTTAATGCAAAGCCGAGAGTTGTAGGATTTAGACGTAGGAGATTTGATGGGTCTGCTGCTGGCCACTACTGGAGACAGGACACTGGGCTCAAAGGACCCATGCTGTGACCCAGCCTGGCAATTCCTGTGGTGAGGTAGCATGCAGGATTGTGCCCCCCTGTGTTTTCCAGTGGCCTGCCCAGACTAACTTTAAAGGAGTCAGTTGGAAGGTCAAGCCTCAGAGAGAGGAGTGGGATGTAAGGAACAAGCCAGACTTCTCAGCTGGCCGTGAGAATTTCTCAGCCAACAGCACTAGTGCCACTGTGGAAACAGACCCAGGCCCTTCTGTCTGGCCCTGAGCTGACTTGCCAAATGGTAGGGGAAGGTTGGAGAAATCCGGCCTGGCCGTGAATGTTCCTGGGGTGGGAGGCCTAGACCAAGTGGGTATTTTCTCTCCAAGCCTGCTGGGGAAAAGGGCGTGAGGTCTCCAAAGTGCCTCATTTCATGAACAGTTCTTCAGCTTTGCTTAACCCAGCCGGACCAACTGGGGGTAGCAGAAGACATTACAAAGAACAGAAGGCTTCCCAATGAAAATAATGCAGCATTTTCCCGTCTACGGGAAATGACCAATAATCCATCCTGCCAGAGATTCAAGTCATGGAAACTAAACACATGCTAATGTTGGTGATGGGGAATCTGTTCACCCTTAGGGAATTAAAGAGTTTTGCTGACGGGGGAGAGGGGTAAGGCGGCGGCCAAGGGGAAAGAAAAAAAATCTCCTAGATTCACTGGTTTTCAAGGCCATTTTGATCATCCCGTGTGACCTCCTGCATCACACAGGCCAGAGAACTCCACCCAGCCATTTCGGCGTCAAGCCCATAACTTCCAGTTGAGCTAGACCTCATCTTTTCGAAAGGCATCCAGTCTTGATTTAAAGACTCCACACGGTGGAGCATCCACCACATCCCTTGATAGGAAGTTGTTCCATTGGGTAATGTTGATTGGTGGTGCAAAGGCAGCTGTGTAGGTGACCCTCTTCCTGTGGAATCATTTGTCATTCAACATCCCATAGCATCCTTCAGGGAGTAGCTAGTGATGAGAGAGCCAAAGCAGGAAACTGCATCCTGCTGCCCTAAATTCTGAGATACCTCACTCCCCATCCTAAAAAGAAAATGATAATTTGAGGGCACTGGCACTGGATGGCTGCTGTGTTCCACCCCAGAGGTGGTGGCATTTCGGGGGTGATCCACTCCCAGAGGGTGGAATTCTATACTCATTCCATGTTCACAGAGCTAAGGTAGCATATGTAGCACTGATGACCTTCTGCAAAACCATGCGGTGTGGACATGATATATATTATTTAAAAGCTCAGCGTGAACAATTCATTTAGCCACTGCACTGCGCAGTCCATAGACCAGCCCCTCAGCTGCTATGAATCCGCTCAGCTGCGCTGTAGAGATTGGAGTTGTGCCCATTTACACCCTCTGCAGATCTGACCCCCGTATGTATTTCTCGTCTTGTGTACCCTTGCAACAAATAAAAATGTCTCTTTATAAGAAATGGGCTTTATTTCTGTTTCTTGTTCTTTGTTTTAGCTTAAAAGCAATATAACACTGCAGCATAAATATTTGTGACTATGAACACCCCAAATAAACCATTTTTACAGCGTTGAAGATTTGCTTGCGGAGACGGGTGGAATAAACTCCCTAGTTCTCCGAAAGAGCTTCTCACCCTTGGAAATATGGCCCTCTTTCATCTTCCTTTGAAGCAGCTGCTCCTGGCCGCTGTTGGGTATCGGAACCTGGACAACCTGTGGTCTGGTAGTGCCTCTATTCATGTGTGTGGCTTGGGAGAAGCCTTCTTGTAATATAATGCATGGAAAGCAATTTTCTAAACACTATTAAAAATTTAAAAACCTTTACTTTTATAAAGAGCCAAGATTCACCTACAAACAACCACTGAATCAGAAAGAGAATGGCCTCTGGAAGCCAGCATCCTCATAGCTAATCATCTTTGATTAGCAGGGTGGGAGCTGAGAGGGGTTGGAGCTAAGAACGGGGGACCAGGAATCTCTTTTGGTTCAGTTTCCAGCTTCACTCGTGTAATGTCTTGTGAATTGATTATTACGTGCCGAGTGCTGGTGATGTGCCCGGCCCTGACTCTGCTCCGGGACCTTGGCTGAGTCATTTCACCTCTCAAAGCCGTGGTCTTGTTGTCTGCAAAATGGGGGTAGCACCTTAGTGGATAGCAGGAGTGGGGTTGGCACCTTAGTGGATTCCTGCTTCCAAAGCAATTTTGCTAAGGCAGGCAAAACATTATCCTTCTGCTCTCACACATTGTGCAATGTATCAAAGCCCAGATAAGGCCAAGCCCTTGTCTCTATGAAGTCCATGGCAAAACTCCCACAGAGCTCAATGGGCACTGGCTGTAATTCTGAGCTAACATGTCAGGTCCATTTTATATTTCTGTGACTCTAGGCTTTTTTTAAAAAAAAACACCTCTCTGAAGAAGGGCTGCTGAGCTTGCTGGCGAAAGGGAGGCACGCCCAGCAGGTGTACGCATCCCCGGTGCATCAGCAAAGACAGCGAGACCTTTCAGACTGCGCTGCAATGGAATAGCTAGAGAGAGTTTATGGGCTTCTCTACTGTCAGGTAAGAGGCATGGAGGGTGCTCGCTTGGGCTAGGGGAAATACCCTGGGTGGGAGGATGCAGTATGATTTAAACGAGCCTACATGCAGGATGATACATTTCGCAGTTCTGCAAGCTGGCATAGCGTCTCCTCTCAGGAGGCAAGTGCTGTGTGCATGGGGTGTGAATATGTAACAGAGACATTCACGCGATAAGACACACGGTATTACTGCTTACCATGTTTCACATTGCTAAAGCATTTTGACAGTGCAAAGTTACATTCCAGTCGTAATTTATTGTCACTGAGGTTCTGATCGGTTCGTGAATTTATGTATGTGTCACATTCAGGTATCAAAGCGAAGTGCATGGCATAAGCACCAACGTTGATAGATCAGTAGCTCCAGATGTTGTGAATACGATAGATAGCATCGTCGACTTGCTAGAGGGTACACTGTATAGTCCGGTGATTTCATGGAGGTGAGCTTTGTTGTTTATTTGCTATGGAAAGCTATAATCAAATTACTGGCAGTATTTAATATTGATATTGTAGAAGGCCCCCAGCCCCAATTGGGATCAGTGCCCCATGTGCTAGGGGCTACACCAACATGCACGAGGACACAGTCCCTGCCCTGAAGAGCTCAGAAGCTAAGAATGCTCGACATTATCACGAAGGGGGTATTTTCAAATTTTCTGAAAAATCTGGGTGCAAACTGCCAGTCTCCGCAAGTAACAGCACCTGCTTTTTCACTAGCGCTGCAGATGTTTGGAACTGGATGGAAGGGTATGTCCAATGCAAAGCGCAGAACCAAACCCAAGGGAAACACTTTGCAGAGTAATCTTATTGCATTCCTGGAGTGTGTAGGGGCCACAACAAAAATCTGGTCCCCGTTGTGCTAAGCATAATACATGCTCCAAAGAGTTTATAGTCTAAGAAGACAAGACAGCCTAAGGGTGCTAGGAGAACCAAGTACAGTGACGTCAAGTGACTTGCCAGAGGTCACACAGCCCATCAGTGGCAGAGGGGAGAATTGACTGCAGGTCTCCTAGCCCTGTGCCCTAGCCCCTACATCATGCTGCCCCTCCCCCCGATTGTTATCTCATAATTTTGCCTTTTCTTTCACACACTGAATACACAGAAGGCCAGATTCTGCGCCCCCCACCCCCACCTTCTCCCCACGCTTGGCTGGAACAGCACCTTGACTTCAGTGGCCTGCTCAGAGCAAGGCACTACACAACAGTGTGTACTTTAGGACTCTTCATGCAAACCCTTCCTTCCCTGTGGAGTCTCTGGACTAATCAGCGGCACTGCCCATCGGAGCAAGGCCTGCTCAGGTAAGTAAAGGTGGACAGGGTCAGGCCAACAACTGGAGAAGTGAGTGACCCAGTGGACTGAAGAATCTATAAACAAAGCCCCATGGAAACACATTAACCCAACATCCCCATCTCGTTAATAAACAAAAACGGATAAAACAACAGCACTAAATGGCAAAGCCTGATCTGGTTTACTGCAGTAACATGTTGTGTTCTGCAGTGACTCGGGCTGCACTGCGAGGACCTCAATCCATAACTGACCGTTTTCTGGAATGAATAACGAACAATAATTCCACTGTAAGCGTGCTCGTCGGTAACATTAATGTTGAATGTGATGTTCAGTTTTTATTATTGGGTTTTCATTGTTATCTTGAACCGAGATTTTCCTAAACCACTAGTAATTTAAGGAACTTCCATTTCAGGGGGGTGGGGGGGTTCTGACTTTAGGTGCCTTAAAAAGGCCAGATTTTCAGTTTTCTTTCTGAAAGGCAAGTCTCTTTAAGGTGTCTGAAGTTGGATCACCT